CATTTCCCCAAGCAGGGATGTTAATCAGAAGTTCAGGGGAAAAAAGAGTTTCAGTTCTTAATCTATGATCTCATCATTCCTGTCACTGCCTCCTCCTTCCTGGGGAACAGTGCCAGCTCCCATGGTTCTGTGTAGGAGGGAGCATGGAAAAAGGCCCGGGTTCCTTGTGTGAAGCAGCCCTTCAGGGCACTGGCAGGTGAATGCTTACAGGTAGCTAATGGCCCAGTAGGGAAGCATAGAAGAATAGAAAAGGGTTCCCCTGATCACTGCTGCTCTGTTAATAATAGCCAGAAACTGGGAACAACCTAGATGTCCCTCAGTAGAGGAATGGATAAAGAAAGAGTGGTACATTTATACAATGGAGTATTACTCAGCTCTTTAAAAAAATGCACCATGAAATTTGCAGGCAAATGGATGAAACTAGAAAAAAATAATTCTGAGTAAAGCAACCCAGGCCTAGAAAGATAAATATGGTATGTGTTCACTTATATCTGGATATTAGTCATTAAATAAATGACAACCTGTTGGAGCCCACTAGGTTTCCTAGTGGCTGTACCCAGCAGGACTGCATAAGAGGTTGACTGGACCACAGGCCTGGGTACCAGGTGTTTGTATGGGTCTACACTTGACTGTCACTAGCAAGGGGAGGTCTTTTGCTCCACCCCTTGGCATTGTTATAAATAGACCTTTGGAATAAAGTTCTGGGCCAGTGGATAAGGATCCAGGCCCACTCGAGTCTATCCTGCGTTTCTCTCTGTTTCTCTCCACTCTATTTCTAACTAAGTCTCTTATTCCTCATTCCTCAAGAGTCCCTGGGGTAAATAATGGTAGGGGCTGGTCCTCCACAGATGGCGCCTGAACAGAGACAAAGAAAAAGATAGAAAAAAATAACCCTAGGACTTGGCGAAAGGATTGCAGGGGCGTTGCAAGTGTCGGTATGCTGATAAGGAACTGAAAAAGGAAGGCAACGGTATTTTATTCTCAAGTGTATAGGTAGGCGGTTAAATACCGCAAGGCTGCAGCATTAGGTTTCTCTCTATAGATCTCTCTCTCTCTCTCTCTCTCTCTCTCTCTCTCTCTCTCTCTCTCTCTCCCTCCCTCCCTCCTTCTCCCTCCCTCCTGCCCTCCCTCCTGCCCTCCCTCCTTCCCTCCCCCTCTCCCTCCTATCTATAAAAATTAAGGAAGGTAGAAAATAGAAATAGTGTTAGGAACATAGAAAAGAAAAAGCTTAGAGTAAAGCAGGGTAAGATGAGCCTAACTATGGGACCTTTCATATTTGGAACTGTTTGCTTCAGAGTCATTACGATTCTGACAGCTATACACAGACTTGAGGGCAGCTGACAAGCCAGGCCCTGACTATGAGCTCTCAGAGGAACTTTTAGGAATCATACCAGAACTCTTTTTGAACTTTCAGACTTAAGAAATAAAATGGACAGTAATGATTTCATTACAATGGGGCAGTTTGAATTTACTTATGCATACAGACTCTAGCAATGGTGATGACCTATGAACTGCTTGTGGAACTGGTTATGTAAAAATGAAACTGTTTAAATACAGAAATTTAGGTTTTCTAACTAGGCTTGAGATTTAATTTAAAATAAAAAGAAAATTGAACCAATAGCTGAGGAACCCCCATGGTACTGGACTAGGCCCCCTGGATAAGTGAGACAGTTGTTTAGCTTGAACTGTTTAGGGGGCCCCCAGGCAGTGGAGCCAGGACCCATCCCTAGTGCATGAGCCAGCTTTTTGGAGCCTAGTGCCTATGGTGAGACACTTTGCTCAGCCTTGGTGCAGGGAGGAGGGGCTTAGACCTGACTCAACTGAATGTACCAGGCTCTGCTGACTCCCCAGGGGAGAACTTGCCTTGGAGGAGGTGGGAATGGGGGGTGGGTTGCAGGGGAAGGCTGGGATGTGGGAGGAGGGAGGACAGGGGAATCTGTAGTTGATATGTAAAAGGAATAGAAAATCTCTTAATAAAAATATAAAGAAAGGGGCTGGAGAGATGGCTCAGCAGTTAAGAGCACTGACTGCTCTTCCAGAGGACCCGGGTTCAATGCCCAGCGCCCACATGGCAGCTCACAACTGTCTCTAACTCCAAGATCTGGCACCCTCACACAGACCAACATGCAGGCGAAATACCAATGCAAATGAAATAAAAGTAAATAAATTAAAAAAAAATATATATAAAGAAAAATATAAAAAATATAAAGAAAAGGGAGGGTAAATATTCCTCAGTATATTTAATTTAAAGACTATTTTCATGTTACTTGAGTGAATTAATGTTATGTTTTGTATAGTTTTATTAAGAAATTGTTTTTGAATGTAAGTTTGTAGGTTGAGAGTAGGTTTGTAGGTTAGAGTTATTACGTTAAGTTTGATGCAGTTGCATCAAGATTTTTTTCTTTTTTTTTTTCTTTTTTTTTTTTTTGGTTTTTCGAGACAGGGTTTCTCTGTGTAGCTTTGCGCCTTTCCTGGAACTCGCTTTGGAGACCAGGCTGGCCTCGAACTCACAGAGATCCGCCTGGCTCTGCCTCCCAAGTGCTGGGATTAAAGGCGTGCGCCACCACCGCCCGGCAAGATTTTTTTCTTTTAAAATATAAAGAAGGGGGGCCTGTTGTAGCCCACTAGGTTTCCTAGTGGCTGTACCCAGCAGGACTACATAAGAAGTTGACTGGACCACGGGCCTGGGTACCAGGTGTTTGTAAGGGTCTACACTTGACTGTAACTAGCAAGGGGGGAGGTCTTTTGCTCCACCCCTTGGCATTGTTATAAATAGACCTTTGGAATAAAGTTCTGGGCAGTGGATAAGGATCTAGGCCCACCCTAGATCTGTCTATCCTGTGTTTTCTCTCTGTTTCTCTCCCCTCTACTTCTAACTAAGTCTCTTATTCCTCATTCCTCAAGAGTCCCTGGGTAAATAATGGTAAGGGCTGGTCCCCCTCAATAACCAAGCTACAATCCAGAGAGGTAAGACTTACAGGAACTTATGGATCTCCCTGGGAGGGGGAACTGAGCAGGAGGTGGAGGGGAAGAGAATAGGTGGGAAGGGGGAGAGGAGATGGGACTGAGAGAGGGAACAAGAGGAAAGACAGCTAGAATTGCCAAGACAATAGGTTGCTCTCCACAAACTGACAGCAAGGACCCATTGCTAAAGGCAACACCCACACAACTCACTGAACATGGAGAGGTTGAGCTGGTGCCTACATAGAACCTTCACTCCCATGTTCTAATGTCTATGGCATGGAAAGGTACCAACCCAATTACAAAACCTTTGATCTACAAATGTCCTGCCTGCAACATACGCTAGGGCAATGGTGGTACAAACCTTATGGGAGTAACCAACCAATGTCTGATGTGACTTAAGACCCACTCCATGAGATGGAGCCCATGCCTGACATTGCTTGGGTGGCCGAGAACCAGAGTCTAGATAGCCCAGAGACCTAGGGTAAAACCAAGTATTACTGGTCTAAAAAAAAAAAAAAAAGTTAAAGTAACAATCAAATGACTCCTAATGATATTATGCTACACTAACAGATCAGTGCCTTGCTCAGCCATCATCATCAGAGAGACTTCCTCCTGCAGCAGATGGAAACAAAACCAGAGACCCATAGCCGGGCATTATGCAGAGAATGAGACCTTGGAACACACAGCTCTAAATGGGATGTCTCCATCAAATTGCTCCTCTCAGAGCTCAGGGAACCCCACAGAAGAGGCAGAAGGAGTCGGGGAGACAGGACACCAGGAGAATAAGGTCTTCTAAAACAACTAGGAAAAGCTCACATGAACTCAGGGACTGAAACAGGGGCACACCAGGTCCTCTGCATGTGTACTATAGCCTTCAGTTTATTGCTTTTATAGGACTCCTGAATGTGTGAACAAGCAGGTCTCTGATTCATGTGCTTTCTCTTGGGGTTCTTTCATTTTTCTGTTGGCTTGGCTTGCCCAACTTTGATATGATGCTTTTCGTTTTACCTTATTTTATTTTGTTAAAAAATAAATTCTAGTTGCTTAAAAGATAAAGTGACAATTGCTGCACTGGGGGAAGGGGAAGGGGAAGGGAAGAAAAAGAACAGCTAAGGAGCTCTGGCAGGAGGGAAAGGCTCTAGGGGGCACTGCGTGGTCAGTCAGTGGGGCCTGGAGAAGCAGCTCTGGAACACAGCCTCAAGAGGATCCCCACACTCTGTGGGGCCCATGCTGGCTCTGAGGGAAGTCCCCAGGCCAAGTGGAGGACCTACAGCAATACAAGCCAGTATCTGGCACCAGGAAAGACAGAGGGACACACTGCAGGACCTGGGTACACCAGTACAAGCCCAGGGAAAAGGTCTGGCGGCAGCAGAGGACGAGCTGAGGGCTGTGGGACTGGGGTGTGATCTGGTTTTTCTCTATACACTTCTCCAGGGTGTTGCATTCACTTTTTTTTTTTTTTGGTTTTTCGAGACAGGGTTTCTCTGTGTAGCTTTGCGCCTTTCCTGGAACTCGCTTTGGAGACCAGGCTGGCCTCGAACTCACAGAGATCCGCCTGGCTCTGCCTCCCGAGTGCTGGGATTAAAGGTGTGCGCCACCACCGCCCGGCTGCATTCACTTCTTAGCCTTGAACTGGACTCAGGGGAACAGAAGCAGCTGAGCCCAAAGCCAGGCCTCGAGCTGGATCTGTCATCAGCCAGGGAAGCCACAGCATCTGAGGACAGCAAGAGGGCTGTAGACAGTGGCTCCAGCTCCCTCCTGAACACATTGAGAGCCCCTCATCTTGTTCTCTGTAAGTTAGTGTTTGTAGTCATGCTTGACTTCCTTGGGAAATCGGGTCCCTCGCTATAAAAAGAAACAGAGAGCAACTCACAGCTACCTTACCCTGACTTTCAGGGCTGAGACACCCAGAAGGAAGAGCTTCAAACGCTCTGAAAGCCTGCGTCAACCTCTAGCCTTGGCCCTTGGCTGGGCATAAGCCCTACAGACCCTCCCTGGCCCACCACGCCCACAGCCCGCTGTACTTCTCCACTGCACACTGTAAATGCCACGTTTATTTGTCAAAGGCGCTCAAGCCTCTAGTAAGCACAGAACAGCAGGGCTCTCCCGCATGCTGCCCTGAGCCCAGCTCCTCAAGCATGCAGGATGGAGCTGGTGGACGCGGCCAGGGGTCCTCCAGAGCAGGCCCACTGGAAAATCAAATTCTGCTGTCCATGCCCTCCCTCCTAGCCTGTTCTGGCCTGCCAATAGGAAAGTGGGGCCGCCTGCCTCCACTGCAGCAACCCCTTCTTGGGGGCTGCCCTCTCTCCCCTGCCCTCCCCTCTGATCTCCCTGGATGTCAGAGCCATGATCCATGTGCTTCAGTCCTTCACATGGGTGCCATACAGGCTGCTTCTGTGCCTCTTGTCTGTCCAGTCGAGTCCAGCTGGGTAGGGCAGGCTGGGCTCTGTCTTCACTCTGTGTTGCCAGCTCAGGACTAGCACTTTGTTGGGGATCAAATGAGCAAAGGCCTGTCCAGAGAGCCGCCATAGGTGAACGTGCAGGACACCTGACTCAGCACTGAGCAGCAGCAGATGTCTCCCAGCCTCCTGGGCTCCTGGTTGGGCCTGAAACATCTTCAGGCCTCAATTTTCCGTGGCCCAGACCAATGCCTCCTATCCCAAGAGGCTTCTCTGGCTTGGCACCAGGCTCAGGGTTAGGTCATGGATGGACAACTGACATGGCTACTTCAAGGCCCGAAGGACAGCCTCCAGCTTCATGACCACGGCTAGGTCACCCTTCACCTTCAGCCGCCCACTCATGTAGGCCCCCAGGGGCCGCAGTTCCCTGCACAGCAAGGCCTGAAGGTCTGCCTCAGCCATCTCCACCACTACGTCAGGGATGCCATCTGGTGCTCCAAGTCCCACTCTGCCTTGTCCTGTTGGGAGGTAGCATTGTCATCAGTAAGAGGATACCATGTGGCGGGGACAGGGTAGCACATCCCACCGGGAACAGTCACAAGCACAGGTTAGTTCAAGTTCTAGAGCTGGGGGTGTGGCCTAAACTTACTCCCCAACCCCCAATACACAGTGGGGATGGGGCAGGTTCTAATATAATGGTTTCAAGCCTTACTGACTGGGACTGCTTGTTGCTACTGTTTGCAAATTTATGAGTGAAGAGAATGTAATATTGCTTCACAGGGTGCAGAGCCTAGCATGCAGTAGGCCTGAGTGTGCGAGGCTCCTAGTCACCCGACTGAGCTCTCCTGCTGATCCCAGTGAGACCACAGCCCAGGCTGTCATTATGGGTTCGTTCCAATCAGGTGGCAGGAGCAAGGGACAGTCTTTAAAGGACCACGGGGGGGGGGGGGGGGGGGACTAGCAGCCTGAGTGGGAAGGGAAGGACAGAGGGAACAGCCACACCTGCAGTGAGGTCCAGGAAGTAGACACTCTGGGTGCCACTAGGCAAGATGACGTTGAACTGGTAGCAGGCCCCAACCTGGCTGACCAGTGCCTCCGACAGGAAGGGTTGCAGGGCAGTGAGAAGCCCCTCAGCCACGGGCTGCTTCCGGTTGGGCTCAGCCTCAGCCCCAGCCTGAGAGGCAGGTGGCTCCACCTCACTTATCATTTCCAAGGTGTCTACTGGTGGCCGACAGGGTCGAGGAGGGAGACAGAGAACAGGTCAGTGTACTGCGAAGGTCAGTATGACTCCATCCTTTTGTGAAGTTTCTTCTTACGGCCCTTCATGCTCTGTACTCGTCATCTCCTAAGCTGCCTCTAGGTTCCCAGCCAACACCCCCAAACCATGCCTACGCTCCTCTGGCCTGCAGCACAGTTCTCCTTCTAGCTACTTTTGCAGGACTATAGCATCTTCCCACAGAGGTCCCAGGGCCTCTACAGACTTCTCCACGACCGCACCCTGGTCAGCTCTAGAAACGGAGCAGAACGAACCAGCTAAGCTAAGGGAACTAGAAGTAAAACCTGCTTACCTGGCCCTGGGGAGGGAGTACCTCCTACCGCTGAGTTCATGCTTCCCCCCAGCAAGTGGAGGGCCAACTGTTGGAGGGTGCTGTCCAGGCTGGACACGGCTGGGCCGTCCTGGGGAGGCTGCAGTACAGCCTCCACCGCCAGCTCCACACGGTCTACCTCCAGGCCCCAAGCTCTGGTCACATCATTGATCTCCAGCTGAGGGCAGTGAGGGAAGAGACGGGAGTCACTTGATAAGGCTTCCCTGAACATCTCTGGACAACTCACTCTAGCCACATATGGACATGGAGGACATAATGGAGAAGCTCCCAGCTGGGAATCCAGCAAGAGCCAGTCTCTTGGCTAGACAAGTGCTGAGTTGGAGAGGGAGGTGGGGACTCTTAAGTAGAAGAGACTTTCTCAGCAAACCCCAGACAGCAGCAGACTCCAGAAAGTTCCATGCAGATTCTCAAGTACGGAATGGGGCACTGGTCAGAATTGGGGGTTCCAGGTAGCCTCTTCCTGCTCAGTTGGATTTGTTCTGAGGACAAGGAACCCCAGAGAGGAGTTTATAGACATGGAGGTGGCCAAGCAGGCAGGCTCCCTTTGGAGAACGATCGTCCTGGTGCTGTGCAGACACTGTGTTGGAGAGGGTCAGGAGTGGAGGAATGGTTTCACTGCAGGCAAGAGATGAGGGCGGCTGGGCAGAGGGCAGGGGTGTGGTGAGGGGGCCAGGAGGGCTGGGCAGAGGGGTGTGGTGAGGGGGCTAGGAGGGCTGGGCAGAGGGGTGTGATGAGGGACCAGGAGGGCTGGGCAGAGGGCAGGGGTGTGGTGAGGGGGCCAGGAGGGCTGAGCAGAGGGCAGGGGAGGGGAAGGGAGGGGGACAGAAGCAGCAAGGGAGGCCTGCCTTGCAAACTGCCAGGTCACAGCAGGCACAGGAGAGGGAAACAGCCTGTACAATGGATACGAATGTCACAGGGGTGGGGAAGACAGGCTCCTGGGGTCATGAGGGCATTCTCCTAGAGGACACATGAGGGTAGGAAGGGGAGGGTAGCAGTTACTGTCATACTGTTAGCTCAAGGTGTCTGCGAATGGATTTGTAAGTTTCCAAAGGATAAAGGGAGCAGAGTGCCCAAGCAGAAGACTAGAGGATATTGCTGTGAGCCCTGGACTCTCCCAGGCCTACAACAGGAACATGGACACTGTAGGGCAGGAGACAGGCAGGGCTGGGGGCCTCGGGGTGGAAGGACCCAAAGGAGCCTGTTGCCACTCGGGGCAACAGGGGAAGGGCTGAGAAACACCTACTGGCCAGACCAGAGGGAGGTCACTGGTGACAGTCAGAGCTAAGTCTGAACAAAGCTCAGACCAAGGATGGAGGGAGGGAGAGGAACAGAACCTTCTTGAAGGAAGGGAAGAAGGGATGAGAGCTTGAGGGAGGAGGAAAGCGAATCCCTGGGATCCTTGGGAGAGAGGTGGGATCAGGCAGGACCCAGTTCAGGGAGGAGCCTCCAAGAGGGAAGCAGGAAGCACAGATGCAGAGATGCAGAGAATATAAAAATTCTGCCTCAAGTCTCTCCTGACAGTGAAGAGGCAAGGTGGAGGGAGCAAGGGGGCAGGGCTGCAGGAGGGCGGTGTAGACAGAGAACAAGGGGCGGGGCTGCAGGAGGGCGGTGTGGACGGAGTAAAGGGGCAGGGCTGCAGGAGGGCGGTGTGGTCGGAGTAAAGGGGCGGGGCTGCAGGAGGGCGGTGTGGTCGGAGTAAAGGGGCGGGGCTGCAGGAGGCAGTGGAGGGCTAAGAAGCTGTTGGCCAAAACGCAACTGGGGAAGAGGCGGGAGTGGCAGGCTAAGGAAGAGGTGAGAGCGGAGTCCACAACCCTTACAGATGGGGAAGGAAAGGGCACATGCACACCTGCTTGAACCAGGACTTGAGGGACAGATAATGCAGCTCCCGAGGTTTCCTTTCAGCTCTACTCAACCAGGAGATGGACACGGACCCTGGGCAATGGACCCGAAGTGACTTTCACATCCTAGATGGACTTCTTCCAAACTGCCCCTCTCACATCAAAGCAACACAACTTTAAGATTGAGTTTATCGTCCTAAAGATGAATTATAACGGGATGTGCTGGTATGAAGAAAATCTGGTAGCAGCGTATTACCTGAGCTGTATTAGTTTGAATACTGCATTGTGGGTAGGAGCAGATGGTCTAGCTCTGGCCCAGAACTGCCCTTTACCATGAATGGTTCTCAGAACCAAGTGGAATAGTTTCTGGGCCTTGGTTCCCCTCCTCTATTAAAATGACAAATACCAGCCCTCTCACAGTGAAAATGGGAAGCTGAGATGCTGTTGGGCAGGTACAAGTACTCTGTAAGCCATAAAATGCTGGGCCCGGGGCTGGTGGGCTCAGCAGTAGAATGTTTGTCTAGCATGCACACAGCCCTGAGTTCCATCCCCAACTGGCATTGCCACAAAACAAGACAAAACCACCACTGTGCCTGGAGAACCACTGTTATGGCTAGAAGGAGTATTTCGGTAGGAATTTCATTTTGTTCCAGTGTGGGTGCTTGGTGAAGCTGGACAAACACTAGGCCCCACAGGAGAGGAAGCACATGTTGGATATGGGAGGGACAGCCACCGCACATGTAATAGACAGGAAAGAAGGTGAATTCCAGGGTACCTAGCTTTTCATACATGGAGAGCAGGGACAGGAAGAAGACTCAGGTGCCCCCTGTCTCTGTTCTGTTCTAAACAAGAAAATAAGACCACAAAAACTCACGTGTGGGAGTCCCAAGCACATGGCTGCACCCAGAGGGCCCTGATCATCTCCTTACCCACCAGAACAGAAACTGCAGAGGGCCAAGGCCCAGGGCTGTGATCACAGAAGCGGTGAAGGGTAATATCTCAACAGTCAGAGGCAGGCGCCCAACAAGTTCCGCTCGAGCACTTCTTTTCAGGATACATGTGCTCAAGATGAGTGACCCAGATCACCTCTGCTCCTCACCTTGGGGTCTCAACCAGATTCTTTTCAGGATATATGTGCTCAAGATGTGTGATCCGGGTCACCTCTGCTCCTCACCTTGGGGCCTCACCCAGATTCTTTCCAGGTGGTAATAATGTTGGGACACATAGTGAGCTAAGACCCAGAGTAACTTGGTCCTTGTTCAAAGTGACCTGGCAGAGAAAGCCAGGCCCTGCTGCCAGACCCTGAGCGGCACCTTGGAGAAGCCACCTACCAGGAGTTGATCACCGATCTTGAGCTTCTCCATCTGGATCTCCTGCAGTGGCCTCCTGAGTAGGGCCTTGGTCATGGCGTTGTGGGCAGTCATTCGAGTGGCTGTGTTTAGGTCCTTCACAGCCATCACGGATAGCACTGGGTCCCAGATGCGGAACTGGACATCAGCTCCCACAGATAACACAGCCCCATCCTTAGAGGCCAACTGTTTCAGGAGACCACAATAGAGACAACATTAAAAGGGCCAGGGGCTACTGGAAGGTCAAACCCACTGAGACCATCCAGCTTGACCCACCTGCCTGGCAGCTAGCTCCTCGAAGACAAAATGGTATCTCCAAGTAGGTGGGGTCAGGTATGGCTCAAAGCCCGGATATACTCATCATTCACCATGCATGGCCCCATTCCTCCTGTGCAGGACAGCTAAGACGCCCCTCACCTTGCAAGGAGGAACATTGAAGGCTCGGGTCCTCAGGTCCACCCTCTGGAAGGAGTCAATGAAGGGCAGGAGAAGAACCATGCCAGGCCCTTGGGGGGTGCGGATCCGGCCCAGTCGAAACACGATCATCCTCTCGTAGGTGGGCACGATCTGTTTGTGATGGCGAAAGAAAGGGTTTGGAAGGGGTTCGCCTGGGCTGGCCAATGCCACTTGCCAGACCCCTCTCTGCCCTCCTCACCTCACCCTGCCAGTCAAATATCCTTTGGTGTGTACGACGTGTGTGAAGGCCAGAGGCAAACATGGACCACTTCCTATTTTCATTTTTCTCTGCCATAAGGTGAAGGACCTCCTGTGGTATAGTGTGATGCTCTGCTCAAACACACTGGGCCAAGCGACCAGAGGCCGACACTTCTGATGCTGAGGGCCAAACTAAGCCTGCCCTCTCAACAGTTTCTCAAGGATATTTTGCCACAGTGACAAAAATACCAACACATTTAGCTGTGCTTAGATGGGAGAACCGAGGCTCCGAGACACTGGACCCAGAGACATGCTCAGTGATCACACAGTCCCTCCGGTGGAAGGGCCTTGATCTGAACGCTGTTCTCAGGAACGGGCCATGTCTTAATCACCACAAGTACTCACTTGATTCAGAGAAACTTCACCTCTGTGGCTTGAGGCTAATTGTGACTCATTCGAGGGCACTGTTTGCTCTTGGATTATTTGGGGGAAAGCCCTGGCTGCTCTAACAAATGCCCTGAGCAGACAGCTTCACCACCTTCAGATCCCTGGAGCCCCTCAAGAAGTAGTTAAATCTAAGTTGAGAACTACAGGCAAGAGAGGCCAAGCCACACGTCCACGGTCGTAGGGCCTGTATTTCAGTGGCACTGTAGAAGTAGGACCTGGGTTCATCTCAGTGCTCCCTTCTAGACCGCACAAACACAGGGCCTTTCTAGGGACGCCACTGCCCAGGGCCATGCAAAGGGAAAGGCCTGCCCGGGCTTCACCGTAGCTGGAGCTGCCAGGCCTGGTGCTCAGTTACAGCTGTGTCTCTCATCTTTACCTATAAGCACCACCGCTTCTGTGAAATGAGGCCTGAGTTCTGCTGGGCAAGCTGGGAGCTTTTCTTTCAACTGGACAGGAGCAAGAGGGAGAACGACCTGGCAAAAGTATGTGTCTAGATTCCAGGACTCAGAAAACTTATTTCTACTCCTTCCTGTCTCTCAAGATGGTCGTGGTTAAGTCTCGGCCTCAGTTTATTCATCTGAAGGATGGGGACTGTCCTAGTTTCTCCTGTAGCTGTCATAAACACTGTGATCAAAAGAAACTTGGGGCCGGGTGGCGGTGGTGCACACCTTTAATCCCAGTACTCGGGAGGCAGAGCCAGGCGGATCTCTGTGAGTTCAAGGCCAGCCTGGGCTACAGAGCGAGATCCAGGACAGGCACCAAAGCTACACAGAGAAACCCTGTCTCGGAAAAAAAAAAAAAAAAAGAAACGAAACTTGGGGAGAAAAGAGTTTACTTGGTGTCCAGGCTACAGACCATCACTGAGGGGGGGCTAGAGCAGGAAATCAAGCAGGAAACTGGGGGCAGAACTGAGCAGAGAGAGGCCTTGGAGGAATCACGGTTACTGGCCGCCCCACCTCCCCTGCTTGCTCGGCTAGCTCAGGCCCAACTGTCTAGGGATGGCACCCCAGGGGGCTGGGCTCTCCTACACCTCTCAGCAATCAAAATGCCCCCAAAGACATGGCCACTGACCATTTGATGGAGGTAATCCCTCAGTTGAGGTGCCCTCTTCACAGGCACATCAAGTTGACAACCAAGATGAGCCACCAAACACTGAACAACCCTAGGCTTGCCTGTTCCCTAGAGGAGTGATAATATCTAGAGGCAAGGGGCCAAATATGGGGAATCCATTCACCAGTGCCAAAGCTTTCACCGTGTCTACCAACTCCCCAACAGCATCCAGCCAGCCTTACCTTCAGGGCAAACCAGCCGGAAATGGGGAAGGTGAGCAGCAGCAGCAGGAACCCCAGGAAACTGATGAGGCCATGGCAGAGACAGGAGGGCCAGCTCTCAGGTGCATCTGGGGACAAAGGAGCAGAAGCAACCACAGAATACCAGCTGGGCTTGGCAGGACAACTTCAAGTACAGTGTGCCATGAGTACAGTGGGTCACGTGCACATTTTGCCTGCCTTCTGCTTCAGAGGCTCCCCATAGCTATTTAGGGACCATGCATCATAACTAACTGGTCTCAAGTGCAACACCCCACATAAGGCTTTTCTCTCCCAGGGAAGAGCCACTGAATCTGAGAACACAACCCATGTGATGTTCTCTTTGCTGGACAGAGCAGGAATCAACAACTCCTTGTCTAATGTGTATTGCCCACCCAAACCTGGAAGAGAACACTCATGCTGTGGAACTAACTTCTATGCTTTCAACGGGTCCTTATGGAGAAAGGGCCTCAGCTAAAAAGGATAAAACAGTAATTGTTCATCAATAAGAGTCAGAGCGAGACTAAAGTGTCCCTTTCTAGTTTAGTCCTCACTCCTGCTTTAATACCCTAAAATTTTTTAATGTATTTTTCAATTCAAGCCCTTTGGAGGGAAGAGCTGGGAAGATGAGCCTAAAGACAAAGATTCTAATAACCCTTGCAGAACCAAAAATCGAGAATGGGTGTTGAGCAGACATCCCCAGAATCTAGGGTGAGATTGTTGTCTGCTCTTCTCCCAGCCCTAGACAGTAAGACCAAAAGAGGCTGTTCTATGCTTCAGGGAGCCCTGCCCGCAAGGCTTTCTAAGTCCCAAACTCTGATCTTTTCAGGAAAGGAATCTTTGGTCAGAGGCACTCCTAAGAGCAGGGGGCAAAACACAGGAAATTCATTCGTCAATGCCAGAGTTCAAGGTACTATCAATACAGAAGTACCACAGAGGGCCCAAATTCTTCAAGGTCAGGCCAAAGAAGCCACAGAAGGCTCTGGAGCAAGAAAGAGCCAAAGCAAATAAGCTGGCCTGCCTTTTTGTTCTGTGCATCTCATCAGTACACAGGAGACTCCTGGTCCCTGCGCTGCTACCCTAGGGTGATTCTTTTTCCATTTTTCTGCAGGTGTTTTTAGGTTGCTTGTAGCCGCTTCTGCCTAGGATTCTGTTTTCTTTCTATGCATGATGAGCTATCCTGAAAATAGTAACGTGATGAGCTGAGATTCGGGAAGATGGGGCTACGCTGGTTCCGAGGCTGTAGCTGGTGGTCCTAGCGAAGACAAAGTAGCAGTATTCCAATGCCTTGTTTGGCACCCTCTCCACATCTTATGCCCTTCATGCTCCCTCCTCCTAGAGGCAAGGAGTACAAGTGTGGGGGTACTGGCCAGTCCCTATACGGTCCACCGTGCTGGGCAGCCACTCACCGGCCCCCGGCCCCACGCCGCCCGGCTCTGGGGACAAGCAGCCCTTCTGCGAACCCAGAAAGCCGAAACTCGACTGCTGGAAACGATCGAAATCCCCTAAGGGCAACGCCCGGTAGCCTGATCTGCCGAACATGACTTCTGGCCCGGGACACGCCCCGCGCCTCCACCGGGCGCCAGCTCTGCCCAGCCCGCTGCAGCTCCGCCCCGCCTCGCCCCCGCCGCTTCCGGCTTCACTTGTGCCGCCAAGGGCAGTGGCTGCGCAGGAGCAGGAAGCAGGCCGGATCCGCACCCGCTGTCCCACAGCGCCCTCTGCGTTGGGAGGACCGAACTGCGGTCGCACAGTTTTGGGCCTTGGTTCTAATCTAGAGCTTCTTGAAAGGTGATGACCACCCCTTTCCTAATCTTTTACCTGGCCTTAAGAAAGGAGGAGAGGAAGTTTGGCTTAAAAAGAGCATTACAGGAGCCGGGCGGCAGTGGCGCACGCCTTTTTAATCCCAGCACTCAGCCAGGCGGATCTCGACAGGCACCAAAACTACACAGAGAAACCCTGTCTCGAAAAACCAAAAACCAAACAAACAACAACAACAATAACAACAACAACAACAACAAAGAGCATCACAGGAGCCTTTTCTCCAGAATCAGGGAAATGTCATCTGCCTCACAGTACTCCTTCAAACTCAACACACTGAGGAATGTGCTTTATCCAGATTTAGGCTTCCTCCTGGGCATGACTGGCCTTTTTCTGTTTCCCCACAGCCCAGGAAACAGGCCCTGTCATATAGAGCACTGTACTTACTTGCTTAATGATGGCAGACCCAAGTCGCTGTCAACAAGGTGAAGTCAGAAGGCCTGAACTTTGGTATAAAGGAGAAATTCCACGTTCAGACACCTCAGGAAACATGGCAGGGGTGGTGGTGGTGGTGGTGGTGGTGGTGGTGGTGGTGGTGGTGGTGGTGGTGGTGGTGGTGGTGGTGGTGGTGGTGGTGGTGGTGGTGGTGGTGGTGGTGGTGGTGGTGGTGTGGTGGTGGTGGTGGTGGTGTGGTGGTGGTGGTGGTGGTGGTGGTGGTGTGGTGGTGGTGGTGGTGGTGGTGGTGTGGTGGTGGTGGTGGTGGTGGTGGTGGTGTGGTGGTGGTGGTGGTGTGGTGGTGGTGGTGTGGTGGTGGTGTGGTGGTGTGGTGGTGTGGTGGTGGTGGTGGTGGTGGTGGAGGATGGCAGAGTTATCACAGAGCTACATCTACATCAGAGCCCTTGATCCAGGTACTTGAGGTAAATTGTCTTTCCGTGGCTTTAGAAAACCCAAAGGGAGGGAGCAAATGTACTCCAATAGGAAGCTGGGGAGGCTGTCAGGAGGCCATTTTATAAAACCAGAAAAGCATGAAGCTTTCCCAGTCTTGCTTCCCCAGATCCCTGCCATAGCCCATTTCTAAGTCCCTCTGCCTATGACTGCTGTGCTGGCTAATTTTATGTCACCTTGACACAAGCAAGCTAGAGTCATCAGAGAAGAGGTAACTCCAATTAAGAAAATGTCTCCGTAAGATTGGGCTGTAGGCAACCTGTAGAACATTTTCTTAACGATTGATGTGGGAGGGCCCATCCCATTGTGGATTTTATAAGAAAGTAGGCTGAGCAATCCATGGGGAGCAAGCCAGTAAGCAGCACCCCTCCATGGTCTCTGTATCATTCCCTGCCTCTAGGATCCTGCCATGTTTGAGTCCCTGTCCTGGCTTCCTTCACTGATGGACTACAATGTGGCAGTGTAAGCAGAATAAACCCTTTCCTCCCCAACTTTCTTTTTGGTTATGGTGTTTTGTCAAAGGTCACAGCAATAAAAACCATAAGACAAGTTGATACCAGGAGTGGGGTTTAGTTAATTCCAGATGCAGTCAAGTTGACAACCAAGAATAACCATCACAATTTCACTCCTTGTCAACTTGACACACAATCATGTCTCCTTATGTTGTGATTAATTTCCAAATGAAAACAATAAGCAGGTCATAATAATGCCTAAATATAATATAACTATCCCACATATAAATTGCAAACACATTATATATTTAACAATATGTCATAATCACACCTAACATAACTATCCCTCATACAACTGCAAATGCATTATAAATTTAGAATAGGTGACAATGTCCCTTGAGGGACATACTTTTAGTATCTAAAACTTAAATATGATAACCATTGATATTCTGTTAATTGATGTTACATCACATGATAATGAAATTGAGGAAAGAAAACACAAATATTTGCACAAACACATTCTTAACAAAATATGACAGAAACAACTGCCCACTCCATTTGACTGTTCTTAGTTTGATGGCCAAATTTTAAAGGCCAAGGAATACAGGTCAATCTGGAGGTATGGGACACTTGCAAGGCCTCTTGTAGTCTCTAGGATTTTGTGTCTCCCTTCAGCACACCCCTCACCCCAACTCTAAGTTTACAACGGTGGGGACCTGTCACCATCCCTTCTAATCTGTTTCATATAGGAACACGGCATAAGATGGATGTACACAGGGACCAGAAAAGTGGGTGGGAATAGATTGAAGTGAAAGCCAAAGGCACTGACCAATGAGACTAACTGCAGGTGTGCCTTTTCCCTCGCCCACTGGATTCGGAATCTCTTTTCACTGGCCAAGAGCTCCCTTTCTATCTCCTTGCTTCTTCACTGCTTCTGGCCAGTTCTCCCCCCTGCTTCCCTGCTCTCTCCCACCTCACATTCACCAGACCCACGGTCACCCAAGGCATCACCCTGTTCTGTCTTTCACCAATGTCCTCCCACCTGACTCAGGTCCTCCTCGGCATCCCACGGCCCCTTCTCATAAGCCTCCTGTCTCAAGGTCATCAGACAGACATAGCTGATACCATGTACCAAACCCTTCACCAACTCTCAGATCAAATAGAACTGGCCAGTCTCCAGCCTTGTGATTAATCTCCTCTTCTCGGGTATCATTTTTTAGGAGCTCCATCTCAAATCTGAAAATGGTCCTGACTACTTCCCAAACAAGCTCTCCTGTTTCAGACCTCCACTTCTTTCCAGGTGCCTGTCTTTAAAGTGTCCCCCCAGCCCTGAATCCCTAGTGACTTCCTCCTGCATGCTCCATTCTCAGCTGAGGGACGCCTTTCCAGGCAGACCCATCCCAATACTGGGTCTAAGTCTCCATTTGGGGTGACTTGGGTGTTCTCTCAAAGAGGGGTTTATTTCTTAATAAAGAAAGGGCCTCTCAAAGAGGGGTTCTTAACTGGGGAGGCACAAAGCTGTGAGGTGAGCTGAGTAGCTCACAGACAGATCTGGAACAGGGAAATGCCTGTCAGACCATCAGCTCTGCATCTCTCCTAGTATGCATATTGTGTGCGTGGCAGGATCTTTCTTCGTAGACCAGTCAAACTCGCGATCTTTCGGCTAGAGTCATGCCACCACTCTGTTTGTTTGTTTGTTTGGTTAACCTCTCTGGTTCTACCCGAGGGGGCTCCATAGCTCCCCAGTCTTTCTCTTCCAACTCCCCAAGTGTGACTTTAGAACCAGCCTCTCCGCCCCTAGACACGCCCCAGCCCTGTCTCACTTCCTCTCGGGAGGCGGGCCCTCGGCGAGCACCGCCCCGCTGGACAGCTCAGGCTGCTCAGTTTTCTGGCTGCAGTCTGGGATTCATCTCCCGCCCTCACAGACCCAAATCCAGAAATCGAAACTGCACCGGTTCCCATGCAGAAGGCGCCCTCACCCACTGGATCTCCCTGCCTCCAACAGGACCCTGCCCTGACCCCCACGCCCACCATGCCTCCCCCGGAGGACCCCTCCGAAGACCATGAACACAGCCAAAGCCCCGCGGAGGTACTGCTGGGTTAGGAGATGAAGGGCTGATAGGGTTTTATTTGTTTACTTTGGTGGGGGAGTTGAGAATGAAGAAGGCTTTTATAGAGATGGCAGTTTAGTGTCCTAGAGAGACACCAAGGTCCTCATCCTCCTGTCTGGGCAGGGGTAGGACGGATAGCATAGAATAAAAAGAGGAACCATAAGGAGTTAGTGGGGTATAGTCGGGTTGTAATGAGATGGGCCACTTCTACCCCCTGGAGCCTTGTCTTTTAGCTCCTACCTCAGGTGTAAAAAAAACGTCCAGGGAGAAGGCGAGGCCAGGAGTCCCCTTTGCCCTAGCCTGGAGCTAAAGACATGCCCCAAACACGACAAAACCATTTACACCCCCTCACAGCGGTGGTAGCCCATGCCAGGAGCAACAGTACTCAAGCTATAGGTGCTGGAGGAGGATTGTAAGTTCCAGGCCAGCCTGGTCTGCACAGAGAGTTCAAGACTGTTGAGGACGGCACAGCAAGACCCTGTTCCAGAACAAACAAACAAAACTCGGGCCCGACTGAAGTGCTGTCTTGGCTGAAACCAAGGCGACTCATGTGGCTTCTCTCTCTTTTGATTTTCATAGATTTATTTTTATCTTATGTGTATAAGGTTTATGGATTTTTTTATTTGTTTTATTTTCCTGAGACAGGGCCTCATTATATAGTCCTGGCAGGGCTGGAGTTCACTGTGTAAACCAGGCTGGCCTCAAACTCGTAGAGACCACCTGTCTTTACCTTCTGAGTGCTGGGGTTAAATGTGTGTGTCACCACACCCTGCTCATGTGGCTTCTCTTAAGGAAGCCTAGTTCTTGGTCCTCCTGGAAGTTTTACTTCAACCTGCCATACTTATCTCCAAAGAAGCTACCTCTATCCCTTTTTCCCCCTTTCCTCTTCACAAAAGCTCAAATAATGCCATATTGTCATAACTTTTTAATTATTAGCATTATATAGCTAAGAAAGATTAACAAGACTAGTTAACATTTATGGATACTACTCATGAGCCAGGCACTGTATTGGAGCACTTTGTACCCTTCAAACAATGGCTATACTTTCTGTTTCTATGAACTTAACTATTCTAATATTTCATATAATTGGAATTGCATAGTATTTCTCACTTTATGGCAGGCATATTTCACTTACCATAATGTCGTCAAGGTTCATCCATGTTGTTGCATGTAATCAGAATGCCATTCCTCTTAAAGTTTGAGTACTATTCCATTATATGTGCAGACACATTTTGTTCATGCATTCATGTGCTAGTTGGTACTTGGGCCGTTGTGACTATTGTGGTTAGTGCTGCTGGGCACATTAGTATATAAATATCTGCTTGGAATGCTTCCCCAGTTCTTCTGGGTATATGTGAAAGGTGGGAGTTCTGATTATTTAGTAGTTCTATGTCTAACTTTTTGAGGACCATAAGCACTTTATATGAGGTTGGTACTTTTGTGTATCTGCTTTCCAAACTTGAGTCCCTTGAAGGCAAAAATGTATCCAATCTTGTATCTCGGGGCCTACTAGTGAGTGGTTCTAATGGTAGGTAGATAGGGGCCCGGTAAATTGTGCAGTGAACGCTTCAAGGCCTGAGTAACTGGGGTGCCGATGAGCCAGGGCATGATTCAATGACTCCCTGGAATGGAATGCGAGGTTCTACCTATTCCAGCCTCCAGATGAAGGGATGGGTTGGATGGTCGGGGGCGGGGGTGGGAGAAACAGGACTTCTGGGCTTTCTGTAGGCCTTATTTCTTTCTTTGGTTCACCAGCAAGCCATGAAGGAGGAATTCCAGTTTCTGCGCTGCCCGGGCTGCAAGGCCCAAGCCAGGTGCCCCAAGCTGCTGCCTTGCCTGCACACGCTGTGCTCTGGATGCCTGGAGGCGCCGGGCTTGCGGTGCCCCATCTGCCAGGCGCCGGGGGCTGGCTCTGAGGAGGCCCTGGATAACGTGTTCTTCGAGAGCCTGCAGCGGCGCCTGGCGGTATTCCGGCAGATCGTGGATGCGCAGGCTGCGTGTACCCGCTGCAAAGAGTCGGCTGACTTCTGGTGTTTCGAGTGTGAGCAGCTCATGTGCCACAAATGCTTCGACGCGCATCAGTGGTTCCTCAAGCACGAGGCCCGGCCCCTGGCCGAGCTCCGCGACAGCTCAGTTCGCGAATTCCTCGACAGTACGCGCAAGTCCAACATCTTCTGCTCCAATACCAACCATCGCACCCCCGCGCCGACCAAGTGAGTGGAGCATCCTGGAGCCAGGGGTGGAAGCTTTGGGGAGCTGGTCGCTCAAAATGCGGTCCGCTGGCTTGTAGTCAGTCGTTACTAATGCCCCTCTGAAATATATAGTGCTGCAGAATCATCCTTTCACCCTTACCTAGTATGTCTTTAGGACAAATTTTTTCAGGGTGCCATTGCAAGCAAGGAGGTGTAAAAACAGTACGTTTTAGTACATGCCACAGAATTTTAGATGTCTTAAGAGTGGACTCTTCCTCAGGGGCCCCAGGGAGTCTCAGATGTTGGATGTTTAGATAAAGGTCAGGTAAACGGTGTCTGAAAAGTTGAAACTATATCATCGGGGAGTGCTGGCCGAAAATGTCTATATGAAAAGAGCAAAGAAAAAGACAAGAAAAATTCACTTGTAATTGTTTTTGTTAAACGGCATATTTTAATTTCATGTTTATATAGGGAATGTATTTATATGGCTCACAAACAAAATTTGTACTATAATAAAAGAGAGTGCCGTCTCTATTTCATTCCCATCCGCTGAGTTTTCAACACTTTCCCTCTTCACAGGGTAGTTGCCCTTACTAATTTTGAAGGCTTCTTTTAAGTTTCTTTGTGAATATACGTGCAGGTAGAGTAGCTTTATAAGGGCTTGTCTCTTCCTTTTTAGCCAATAAGGTAGTATATGACTTGACTCCTCACGAGCAGATTGCTTGCATACGGTTCTGCCTAATAGGACTAGTAGTTCTTGGGAAATTAGCGGCAGCAGAAAGCATTTCCTCATGTGGGACACCCCTTAACCTACAGACTCTGTACTCCAGGAGCTTGCTTCCGGCCAGAGTCTCAGAGGAGTCCTGCCCGCCCCTGCTGGCCTCCCCAGCGTTCACTGCTGCTCCATTTGCATTTCATTGGGCACTGTTGAGATCAAAAGGCTTTCCTGTCTATTTACAGGTCCTTGTGTTTCCTCCTTTGTGAATTGCCAGTTTGAAGGCTGGTTTGCTTTTCCTTTGAGGAGTCTGTCCCTCTGTAAGACTCTGTGGTGATAGTCTTTCACTTAGTATGTGATATTGTATTTAAAATAACTCTTTAGTTTTAGGCAATCAAATGCATCAGTCTCTCTCTTGATGGTGTATGGTTTTAATGCAGTCTAAGGAAGAGCTCATGTCTATGTTAAAAATAATCTCTATATGTTCTATGGTCTTTTAGTATGATGAGTTAAATGAATGTCTTTTCTTTGAACTGGATTTTGGTTCCTAGGGGGAAAAATTCAACTTGGATCTTGATATACTATTAATTTCATTCCTATCTAGTTACATTTTGAAATATTTTAATATTAGGCTATTCTCTGTAACAGAAGGTATAATCAATTTAGTATGAAGTATATATGGTTTCTGCATTAGGTTTTCCTGTCTGTTTTATACTAATCTTTTTAATTTGTAATCTTACATTTCTTTGAGCATGATAATACAGTCCTTCATAGGGGATGATCGATTTCTTCACCCCTCAGAGAACTCTAAGCCACTTCAAGATTACTCATAAGCCAGGAAGCCTTCAATACCCGCACTAGGGGAGCAGAGGCAGGCAGATCTTTATGAGTTTGAGGAATCTAGTCTACATAGCAAGTTCCAGGCTAGCCAGTGCTACAAAGTGAGACCCTGCCTTAAAAAAAATTACTTATAGTGCTAAAAAATATAAATGCCATGTAAATAGGTTTTTATACTTAACTATATTTGGGAATAATGATTTCTAAAAGTCTGTGCAAGTACAATATGAATTGTGCGTACGTGTGTGTGTGTGTGTGTGTGTGTGTGTGTGTGTGTGTGTGTGTGTGTATGTGTATTCTCATGCACACACGAGTGCATGTGGAGGCCAGGGGACAATTTTGGATGTTGTTTTCTCTCTCTCTCTCTCTCTCTCTCTCTCTCTCTCTCTCTCTCTCTCTCTCTCTCTCTCTCAAAAACTAGTGGTTATGGAAATTTTTTTTTTTTCACCAACCTCAATGTCGTAAATAATCCACAATTTCCCTTTGGCCACAAGTCAAAATAAACCACCCCAGCCTTTGTCATTGAGCTGACATGTAGCTCATGCTGGGGAGCAGCACAAGAGGAACTGGGGTTAGGGTCTGCCCTCAGGTCACTGGCATTTGACCACCATGTCTGTGGAGTGGATTGGTTCAGCCCACCATCATGCCAGGCCTGTAGTGTGCCATGTTCTCTGTTAAGTATTGGACTATGAGTACAGACAGACCCAGCCTTGCCTTCTTGGGTATCTGGGGTGGACAAACAGAACCAGCAATGAGCAGCAAAGGCTGCAGAGTGACCAGGCAGGGAGCCTGTCTCCCTAACTACCCTTTGAGCCTGTGTCTCCACAGTGACTCTGACCACACGGCCTCCTTTGTTGTGTTCCCTTGACAGCGTTACCTGCCCAGGACACTGATATCTCATGTGTAGGCAGAAGGAAGAAGGAAGCAAGGCATAAAGGTCTAGAGTGCAGAAATCCACCTGCCCAGCGTGGCTGGACAGAGAGGCAGCTTCTAAGAGGGTGTCATATGACTTAGATTAGCAGTGCCCCTGCGGAAGGAGAGAGAATGGCCAGAAGGAGAAGGCGTCATGGATGAGGTAGAGCACTAGGGAATCTGTGAGTCTTAGAAATTGCACTATGCAGGGAGAGGAAAGATGAGCTGGGGTCAGACACATGGCTTGGGAGAAGTCAGGACTTTATTTCACACTTTTCAGAACACTCACCCTGTTCAGCTTGCTGTTTTTTTCATGCACACACTCTTGACATTGAGTACCCTATAGAGTGTTAATGAGACAGTGGAGTACACTGTTGGAAACTCACTGCTGGAAGTCATGGTTAGACCCTCTCCCTGCACTCTGGTTCTTTGTCCCAAGTGGGCACCTTCGGCAGCTGCTAGGCCAATGTTTATTTGATCAGTTGCTTTCTTATTTCTCTATCACAACTGTTTGGCAGGACTCGTTACCTTATGTTGGGTATGTTCAGAAACTGAAGTATAGAATCTGGAGGGCAAAGGAACCCCCTTAGGAAACTGAGGTCTGTGGGAAGGGACAGGGGCGGGGAAAGACTGAGTCTCACAGTGTTAGAGCCTGTGGGACCTGGAGGCTCACTTGATAGGCCTAGATCACACTTATGAGTGATAGGGATCTAGGGCTCTCTGTGTCTGGATGTTTGAGCCTAAAGTTTGGTGGACTGGGGAGATGGAATTCATCCAGGGCATCAGTCTGTAGGCAGGTACTGTAGCTGTATGGAGAGAACGGAATACACTGCAGCTGTATGGAGAGAACGGAATACTTATTCATCAAATTAAAGAAGTGTGATGGGGGCCGGGTGTGTGTGTGTGTGTGTGTGTGTGTGTGTGTGTGTGTGTGTGTGTGTGTGTGTGTAGCATGTCTTTAATTCTGGGACTCAGGAGGCAGAGGCAGGTGGATCTCTGTGAGTTCGAGGTCAGCCTGGTCTACAGTGAGATCCAGGACAGCTAAGACTACACAGAAAAACCTTGTCTTGAAAAACCAAAAAAAAAAAAAAAAATGAAAAAAGAAAAAAAGAAGTGTGATGGGATCAGAAGCCTGGCGGAAAGCCTCAAGACTTTCCAGAAGCTGGAATGATTGGCAACAGGTGACAGAAAGGCAGCTCTGGGCAGGAACCGATGACATCCAAGAGCAAAGCTGTGACAAAGCAAGGACAAGCTGGGCTGCTGCTGAAGGCGGACATGCTGATGGTTCTGCTTTGCTTACCAGCCCTGCCTGTCCTCACCCTTCCTGCCTACCCACTCACCCACCCCTGGGGAATCTGTAGTGCATTACATCTTCCTGGGGCTCCTAATGTTGCTGAGACTGATTTCTGGCCAGCGAGGAGCACCGCCACACGGCAGAAGCAAGGGTACTGCCTGCAGTTGGGCAACATAGCAGACAGGATGTTAGTGACTCCTTTCTCAGTTTTGAAATGCTCTTACCCAGGAAATGTGGCTTCAGACCCAGGAATACCCATGCTCCATTTGGTAGGCTATTACGTGGATAAAGAGATTTCTCCTCCACACACCTGGCCCTTGTGATGTTTCAGAGAAAATAAAAAAAAAAAAAAACCAAAACCAAAGAATTAAAAATAACTCAAGGCAAGATCAGGGTTAGAGTGTTAGTCCCTGGAAAGGCTGAACTCTCTTCTCCAGCAGTGGTATTGGGCTTAACTGCTCAGAGATGGGTCATAGAGACTTTGGACAGTGTAGAAGAATGGTTAGCAGTGAGACTTAATGGTAACAGGCTTTTCTCATTGATTCCTAACTCATAAAATGAAGCCAACTGGAACCATATCTGTTTGTCTGTCCATCTGACACTGAATAATCAATTAGGGAGGCCACAGTTTACTTCATGCTGGGCATTGAAACATCTGTTGCCGAACAAGTGAGAATTGGTGTCTTTGAGGGCTGAATACACAGCCTTTGATCCGAAGGCTGTGTTGAGTACACACAGCACAGTGCTCCCTGGTGAGGACTCCCAGGCCCCAGGAGATGGCTTCAAATGCAGTGCCAGGCAGTCTGAAGGACAAAGGCCTTGTGTCTGACTGTGAGGAGAATTAGAAGCAGTTTTTAAATCATACTTTGGAGAGGTTTGTTGAGTTCCATGAAAAACAATTTGTAAAAATGAGCGAGAAATGTCCAGTTAGCTTCTGGAGTGTAAAATGGTTGGTGGCTCATATAAGCCAGGAAAGGTGGTCTGGCGCCTGACCCCAGCCTGATTAGACACATAGCTTGTGCCACCAGGAAGGTCTCTGTATTTCTGTGGCCTGGCTTTCTGCCAAGGCCACTCCATTTACAAAAGGCTCTTTCCCCAGGGTTGCCAGAGGATTATAAGAGCTAAGGAGGTTATGTACAGTTAGGCTTGAGTCCTGGGGGACAACAAATTCAAAGCCGAGTCTCAGTACTTTCGCCGCTGGATCAAGTATTCTCCTTGAAAAGCTGCTCGGAATGCTAGGGGCCATTCTGGCATCAGAGTTGT